TGGGTTCGTCGTACCCAAGCCCAGGCGACGAACCCAGGCGATCTAGGTGCCTGGGTTCAACAAACCCAGCTGGGTTCCTTGGAACCTAGAGCTTGGGTTCGTCGAACCCAGCACTAGGTTCCTTGAACCCAGAGCCTGGGTTCCGAGGAACCCAACGCCGGCTGCTGGGTTTCTAAGGGGGGAAGGGTAAAGAGAAAGGGGAAGAGAAGGGGAAAAAGAAGAAAAAAGAAAAAAAAAAGAGTTTTTTAAAGTTTTATTTTTCATATTATTAATTATTATTTTTATATTATTATTATTTTTGCCACGTGTATAATAATTTGCCACGTCATCCTATAAGAGTAAATTAACAGCATAAGTAATGTGATTTTTAACGGAGGGACCAAATCGGAGTAAAAATGGTAAACAGTAGGGACTAAATCAGGGATTTTTTGAGTTGAGGGACTAAGTCGGGGGTCCGTACAATAGTTGAGGGACCAAAATGGGGGTTTAACCTTCAGAATTTGGAGTTTTACCGAGCACGCGCGACTTTGTCCTTATTCAGAAGCTAGGTTTTCAGAACCATAAATGAAACTTGAGAGTGATAGACGAAAAGCGACAATAAATTCCAACCACCTTAGTAATTGCAGAGCTAAACTTGTTTCCAACCCTGGCATCTATTTAGGGTAAAACTACATGAATTTCTTGTGTGTCCCCATATATATTTGCTCGAATTATTTTTTAGTTGACTAGGAATTTGACTTAAACTTGTGACTATAATCAAGGCAGACCTATATCGGGGAGGGATTCGACACAAACTCTATTCCTCTTTTAAAAAATTCTAATAATTTTAAAAGTTTAAAATTATGAGGCCCTATCCTTTAAAAGAAATATAATATATAAGGCCTTTTAATTTTAGATTTTGTTAATACAAAAATACAATAGGTCCTATCTAATAATCAATCCTAGTTTCGCCTGAGCTTTAAGTATAAAAAACCTTATTACCAGAGAGCATACTACATTATGGCTGATGGTTTTTGCTTGAAATTATTAATTAAACATATGTGTAGAATAAGGATCAAAACCAATTTTAGAGTTCTGTGATTAAGGAACCTTAATTAATATGGATTTTGCCTTTGTGTGTTTGTGTGTGTGTTTTTCTTAGAATTAGAGCAAAGTATGTTACTATAAAGAGAAAAAATTGTAATTAGTAGTTTGAAGTAGACATTTGCATGATATGGACAACTGACTTATCAAATTATTAGGGTACCCTAAATGAGAAGGCAGTTCGAGATAACTTGGACTGCACTTAGGATTCTAATGTATATGTGGGACCCTTCTCCCCCGGTTTAACGTTGCTAATAATTTTGACCCATTTTTATGGATATGGACATTGATATTTTGAGGAGCTTAAAACTCAAGCTTTGTGGGCTTGAATCTCTTTTCTTTTACTGTTTCTTTCATGGTTCATTGCAATGATGGGCTTCATTTCCTAGTCAGAAAAGGCTCAATTATTCAGCGGACGGGCCCGGTATCACCCGAATGAAATACTAGTGAACGATTCAAGATGGTTTTTATTTATAGGATTTTTATGATAATACATGATAATGATGTATTTATTGTATTTATTTTATTATTTATATTTTAATTTGCATAAAAAATAAAAAATAAAATATTAATTTTATCATCTATAACACATAAATATTTTTTATTAGATAATTAATATAATAAATATCAATTTTTAATTTTATCATATGTATTAATAATTAAAAGATATAATAAATATACTTTTATTTATTTATTTATTTTTTGATCTTCTAGAAGGGTTCGCATGTGGTACCCATCAATCATGGAAGACATATCTCATACGCCACTAAACAATGGCTGCCATAATTAAAAAGAACAACTTGTACGAAAGGATACCAAACAAAAAGATTCCAATACCT